TGGATTGGTCAGAAAAAGTCTTAACTTTTTGCTTACCACCAAAATGGTCCAAGCACTAAAAGTGTAAAGTCCAGAAACTCAGGGAGTGAGTTGGCCATGAGACAAAATCCCGTACCCCCAGTGAACATCCCAATCCCCACTAAAATAGGTTCTAAAATGGGGTGCACCTGGTACCATTGGTTTTGACCCACAGCCAGTTTTTGGGGGCCGATTTTCTTCTATAGTCTATTTTAGTAGGGGAACCCTCCCCCCGGCCCCCCCCCCCAAAAAAAGAAGAGAAGGGCACTACTGGCGGACCCAGACTCCCTAAAAACAAGTCAGCTGATGGTTTGCTAATCTTGGGTTGCACAAAACCTTTGATTTCACATTAAAAGGAAGTTGCTGTCCCAGGTTAGTTTCCGGGAAGGTCACTGCCTGCTGTCCCGGGCACGCAGCTCTCCGCCGCCTGCGCCAACGCCACGCAGTCGCTGCGCAGCTCTCGGCCGCCTGTCAGCGCCAGAGCACACTGCCAGCGGCTGGCGCGCCTCAAGGCGCGCCGGCGGTTCTCCCCAAGCCCCCGGCTGCTTGGGCAGAACTTGGGATTGTGGAGGCGAAAAGGAACGCCCCCAGAAAAAAGTATAAAGTAGTAAAAAACAAGCAAACAAAACGACAACACAAAAAAGCAAAAGGACCCCCCCAAAAAACCTGGGGGGGACGTTCCCCAAACAACCTCCGGACCCATTGACGGTCCAGTGCGCTGGCAGGCGGTGAGCGCCGTGGCCAGGCACAGGCGGTCCGGCGCCATCCGCATCGAGACCAAGACGTGGAGGGCGGAGGCCCAGCGCGCGGCCGCGGACAAGGCGCCCAGCACTGCGCCGTAGGTCACCAGGTCCTGGAAACACGCTTGTTCTTCAATTGTCTCTTTTTAGTTTTCTTTTTTGTCAAAAGTTGTTTTTATTTTTTGTTTGTTTATTCATTTGTTTTAATGACATGTAGTATCCTTGTAAGGTACCCAAAATCGTGGAGGTTTCCGGTTGGTTTCCCTTTCAAACCAACCAAAAAGGGCTTCTTATTTTTTGTTGGTGGTTTTTCCCTTTGGTTTGCCTTTAAAAGCTAACCAGAAAGGGTTTCTTAGGTGGTCCTGACGGCCGGCGCCCCGTCTTTAACGCTTACCCTGAACGATGTTTGCCAAGGGGGACTTTGGGCGGCTCGATCTTCTTTTGAGGTGCCCTTGGGTGGGTGTATCTTCTCTTGAGGTGCCCAAAAATGTAGTTGTCCTTTTGGTTTCCCTTTGAAACCAACCAAGGGTAGCCTCAAACAAGGGTCCTGGAAACGGCCGCGGTGCCTGGCTTTTAATGTTACACTGTAACAATGTTTGCCAAAGGGGATTTGGATGGCTCCTCTTTGAGGTCCTGGAAACCGACCTCTTCAAGGTTACCCAGGCTTACTAGCCTTCATCTACGCGGCTTTTTTGATGGTGGCTCATGTGACGGTTGCTCGTCTCCAAAAGCAGGCCCAAAAGGAAGCCAAAGTGGATTTGGTGATTGTGGTCTCTTTTTCGAGGTAACACATATGGAAGGATGTCACTCTCTATTCCCAAGGAAGCCAAACACGGAGACTTGGGTGGCTCGTAAGCGGCTTCGGTTGTCCTGTTGGTTCGACGTTACCAGCTCCAAAAAAGACACACCCGTATGGAACCTGGTCCCCATTCCCTCGAAAGAACAAACCAAAGACAAATGAAACAGCACCAGGCATCCATTTCGGGGAACAAAAAGAAACCACTCTTTTTAACCCCCCCCCCCCCCACTGTTTGGCTTCTTAACCCCAAGGGACGGGGTCGATGTTGGCACAATATTTCCCGAGCTGAAAGGGAAACGACCCAAAGTCATTTTGCGAACCTTTGGAGCATAGGCCATCCCCATGACTGCTTCATGTATGGCAACCTCCAGCAAGGGTGCTAGAAAGGCCTAAGCAATAAAAAGGGCTTGCGGGGCGCTTCCCGCCGCATGTCATGATCATAGGGATGCTGATGTGTGTGTGTGTGTGTGAAGTTCTGTGAGTTCCCCATGTGCCACCCAAATGGGCCTACATACACATGCATATATATATATACATATATGTACATAGATTCAGATAGATAGATAGACAGACAGATAGACAAACAGAAAGACAGACAAGATAAATAAGGATAGAATCGATGGATAGATAGATACATAGACATACGGACAGACAGACACAGACAGACAGACAGACAGACAGACAGGCGGGCAGGCAGGCAGGCAGGCAGACCGGCAGGCAGGCAGGCAGGCAGACAGACAGACAGACAGACAAGATAGACTTGATGAATAGATAGATAGATAGATAGATAGATGGATGGATGGATGGATAGATAAGAACGATATAGAGTAAAAATATAGACAAATGGATGGGGGGATGGATGGATGAATGGCTGGATGGATGGATAGATAGATTAGATAGATTAGATAGATCAGATAGACTAGATTGATTAGATAGGTTAGATAAATATATATATATATATGTATAGAGACAGATAGATAGACAGATAGATAAGATAAGATAAGGTTCGATTCGATTCGATTCGATAGATAGATAGATAGATCGATAGGCAGACAAACAGACAGACAGACAAACAGACAGACAAACAAACAGTCAGATAGAGAGACAGGCAGACAAGACACGTAGATAAACACACAAACAGAGAGACACACAGACAGATAGAGAGACAGACAGGCAACATAGACAAGATAGACTCCATAGATAGATAGATAGATTAGATTAGATTAGATTAGATTAGATTTAGATTAGATTGGATTAGATAGATAGATTAGATTGGATTAGATTAGATTAGAGTAGATTGGATTAGATTAGATAGTTAGATAGATTGAGAGATAGATAGATAGATAGATAGATAGATAGATAGATAGATAGATATAGATATAGATATAGATATATGATATAGATATAGATATAGATATAGATATAGATATAGATATAGATAGATACATAGATTAGACTAGAATAGACTCGATTAGATAGATAGAATAGATAGATAGAGATAGACAAACAAATAGATAGATAGACGGACGGACGGGCGCATGGATAGATATCTATGAATATTCACAATAGCGGATCCTACATGAGCAGTACATCATCTCAACTCCAAATACAAATTGGCCGCACGAAATAGGGGAAAAAGATACCCCTTCCCTGTTGGTGTCCTTCTGAAGCAATAACTATAGTGTTATTGCGCCCAGCATGCATATGAGTAGCATGGGTGTCCTGTTTGGGGCCTCAACATGGTTGCGTTAAGGGGTAAGCAAAAGGCGGGTCAAAACAAAAACACCCATATTGAAGTGATTCACCTAGTTTCATGTACAGAATCTAAAGGGCGCATCTCTGCGCCATGCCCCTCCCTCACTTACCCAGGTTTTGCATGGCTGGCCTCCTTTTCCCAAAGCCGCCCCCAAGTAGCCTCTGCAGTCCGCCAACTTGGAACCGCTCCCGAAAGGACCTTCGTCTTCTATTGCCCCCTGTCAGGTTCCATGTTGTTGTGTGCTCGGTGTACTCAAGACGGCCTTGGCAGACATGTTGGCAAATCAGCTTGGACATCTTCGTGCTGGGTACCATGCTTTTGGATGGGCGGGTAGGGCAACAGACCTCGGTTGCTTTCTGCTCTGCTAAAAGTGACTAACTTTCAGTGGTTTAATACGGAAAACCCCTCTTCGTTGGCAAAAAGTCATTCAGTCCTAACATCCCTTGGCAAAATGCACCAAAGAGACCCTGACTTCGACACCCCGAAACGGCAACCCCGACACCCCGTCCGGCGGCATCTCTTTGGGCATGCGCTGCAGCAGGCCCAGCGCCACCCGCCACTGCCCGGCCTTTTCGCAGGCGGAGACCGCCGCGTTGAAGGCGACGTGCCTTGGGTGATGCTGTTGACCCTGCAAAAAGTGTTTCTCACTTTTCGGGGGTTTAGTTTGGAAAACTCCAACCCCCCCTGCAGTTTTTCACTTTTTTTTTGGGGGGTAGTTTGGAAAACCCCAAATGATTTCAAGCAAAAAAAAGTTAAAGTCTAAAGATCCAAGCCAATAGCAGTCCAGTTGCGAGGCCACAGAGGCGGAGATGAGATCGAGCCTGGGCGGTCTGCGACAACAGCTCAGTTGGCTTGGTCTGGTTGGTCTCCCCCCAACGTTGCCGGGTCAGGTCAAATGGTTGGGTCAATCTTTTTGAGGGACCCCGGTTTTGGTTGGTGTTTAAAGGGAAGCCCTAAAAAACAACAACGATTCGCGGTGGCTTTCTGCTCCCCTGCTGAAAGCTTAACTTTCAGTGGTTTAACGGAAAACCATTAGTTGGCAAAAAGTTAAAGTCCTAACATCCAAGCAAAATGCACCAACTAATTTTAGGGGCTTTGCCAAGATGTGGGTTGAACGCACGGTGGACACTTGAAACTAATGTGCCAACGAACTCCTCTAGAAGTCACGAGGAATCGATAAATGTTGGCTGTGTCCACTTGTAAGACATCCCCATTGTTGAGCCTTGAAAACCGTCATTTCATATCAACCCACAAGTAAATCGCAACAGGAATTTCCAGTGACCCTTGAGCGAGCGTCGGTGTCCAGACTGACTTGTTCAATTCATAAGCGACTGTCAAACGCTTAAATGCCATTCATGCATTCGCGTAGGGGTGGCTGCAACCTAAATGAAAGTTCACACTTCCAGAAGCACACATGCCTTTTGAACAGGGCTCCCGAGGATCCCAAATTTGTCGGACGGCCCTATAGCGCTTAAGCCAAACATCGCGAAATTGAACCCAACCGTTAACGACCATACGACGCTTTAAAATCAAACCTCAAGTCCTGGGGTACCTCAAAGTCCTGGGGTACTGCACCCCTTCAGATCCTTTGGGCAAACGAGGATTTGATTGTGACTCAACTGAAACTTCTCATCCCAAGCCCGATGAATCAGACACATTAAGCGATTGATCCTATGGATCAGTCACTTGCCAGGTGTTTGGACGTGTTATTTTTGAAGAAGCCCATGTGTGGGCGAAATCAACAAGTTCAGACTCATTGTTGGCCAATCCACTCAGAAATGGCTGCTTCAGGGCTTCTTATATGTGTTGTGTTTGGATGTAAACAACATCTTCCATGTTGGCCTCTTTGAGATTCCAAAAGCAGGAACCCACATGGTTAACAGGTTGAATCGCTTTCGGCAAGTGAGAAACCTGGTGTCACGATGGTCTGCCCAAAACCATTCAAATTGAGAGGGCGGAACCTGATTTTCGCGACTGTTCCCACCCCAAATGCACCCTGTGTCTACCTTCCAAATCAAGGCTCAGCAGGGCTGTAGGAAATGACCACTTCTGCGATACAACAAAACAAGTTTCCCAAGACCCCATTTTCAAGGGGGAGATGTCCCTTGTATCGCAGAAGTGGGACTAAAACCACCGAGTGATCCACCACCACCACCCATCAACTGTGAGAATGATGAGCCCAACTCAGGTGCTTAAAAATAACGCACCCCCAACAATTGTGGTGCTCCAGTTTGTCAAAGGTACTTGGGTGTGGCTCAAAATTAAGCAGGAGGGGTTACGCAGGTTTTGGTCCATGTTTCCACTTACCAGGGTTCCAGTGTGGTACCGTTTTTTTGAGCCACAGCCACTTCTTGTTGTGTCTTTTTGTTAAAGCCACCCTGCTCGCTTCGCTGAGCGCGCGGCAGCAGCGCCACCGCCGGGCGCCAGCTGCGCGCCCGCCCGCAGGCGCTGATCGCGGCGCAGGCGCCCACGGCGTTGGCGCCGGAGAAGCGGCGGCGGGCGCGGCGCAGGAGCTCCAGGGCCTGGCGGCGGAGCCGAAGATCGGCCGCTCCAAGCGTGCTGGGGCGATAGGCAGGGAATGAGGAAATGAGCCGTCTATACACCATCCAACTGGTGGTTTGGTGCGAGAGATTTTCCAAACCACCAACACTCGCACCAGCAAGGCAGTGAGAAGAAACATCCTAGACTTCCCTTTGCTTGATCCAGAAGTAATAGATCCCCTGTAACTAAAGCAATAGGAACAAGTAACTCATATTCGTAAGCAAACTTGCTGGTTCTCAGCAGGCTGTCTATAAACCATCCAACTGGTGGTTTCCTTTATTCGGGAATCCCCTTCCGGTTCATGCGAGAGATGGGAATGAAATGAGGGAATGACCCGTCTATAAACCATCCAACTGGTGGTTTCCTTTATTCGGGAATCCCCTTCCGGTTCATTCCCACATTCCCTACCTAGCGCACTAGCAAGAAGGAAACAACCCTCAACCCATGGTGGGTGTTTTTGAAAAGACCTCCAAAATGTTGAACGCCTCTTGGGTGTTCCTGGAAAACACCACACCAAAAGGGTACCTTTAACAAAAAGACACAAAAAGCCACAAAAAAGAGACCTTTAACAAACAGGAGCCACCACAATGTTGGGGGGTCCGTATTTCAAGCACCTGAGTTGGTGATGGGGGTGAGCAAAGTCGGACGATAGGGTTGTTCGCATTTTATGGGACACCACCGTGTTTTCAGCTTCCCCTAGATAGAACCTTTTGGGATATATCACCCAAAGGTTGGGTGACCTGTCATTCCTTTCGGATGCGAAAAGCGAAGAAGGCTCCGAACCGACGACTGAAAACACCGTCTCTCACGGGGAAAACAAAAAAACATGAGTGGTTTCGGGTGTAAGCTGGATTCCGTTTAATAGAACCCGTTTAAGGTCCCCTGATTTGCGTGTCCCTCGCCATAGGTTCCCCTCCAAAAGGGCACCATCTCGTTTGTTTGTGTTTTAGACAAACTTCTTGTGGTTTTGAAGGGACGTGTTTATTTTGTTTGATGAACCCCATCCGCAGGACCATGACTGATGAAAGCGGGGGTGGGGGCTCCCCCCAATTCCATTTACCTAATCTAGTATTCTGCACAGAGACAATTTTGAACCAAACATGGGTGCGTCTTTTTCGATTGTACCCCCTTTTTCGTGGTTTTCAAGGGACACCAAAAGGAAACACATTTTTCGAGGTTCTCAAAAGAATGACACCCCCAAATTGGAGATCTTTAGGGGATTTCTGCTTCCCCCCATTTCAGTTTCGGGGGCGGGGGATGATGGCAGCTTTCGTACCTCGCCTGTGCCCATTGCGCCGCCCTCTCGCAGGCAGTGATCACCGCGTTGAAGGAGATCCTCGGGAAGCGCGCATGGCGTCGACGTGGATCTCAAGAAGCCGGCGGGAGTTGCAGCCGTGTTTTTTTTTTGCAAAGGTGGAGAGGGGGTGGTGGGTGTGTGTTTGGAGGTGGGTGGGGGGGGAGGGTGGTGGAGGGGGCTCAAATAAAATATCAGAATCAAATTGGATATGAATCTTGATGGGGGATCCTTTGGACATCACTGGAGGATTTATGTCCACCGACAACTTTTGAGGGGTTCTCAAGAATCACGGCCAAATGAAGTAGATGGTGCAGGATGTTGTCCATCGACAGTATGTATATCCCCTTGCCTTTGGTTTGCCTTTGACTACAATCCAAGACTGGTCCCCTGATCATCCCGGGTTGCCCCAGCTCCCCTGCTAAAAGTTTAACTGTTAGTGTGTTGAATGGACACCCCCACTAAACCAACTAAAACCTAAAACCTCAAAACCTAAGGAACAGGACGGCTGGAAGCCACAAAGAGAGATGCAGCCCAAAGGCCTCGACAAAACCACTCATCTGGTTCCTTCAGAAAGTTCCACTTGCTTTAGCTTGAATTCTTGACCAGGTCCTCCAGTAGAGAGGTTAGAATACGGCTACCATTTTGTTTCTTTAGTCTATTTTAGTAGGGGAACCGAATCTCCCAACCAAAAAAGAAACGGTAGAGAAGGGCACCTGGCTGGGCTACTGGGGGGACCTTGGCTTGAATTCTTGAAGCTTGCCACCCAGTGTTACTCCAAGCTGACCGGTTGCCTTGGAACCTGTCAAGATCAACATGAGTGAAAGCCAGCAGCCTCAACTTCCGTCAGGTTCTTGTGGTAAATCGGCAAGGTATCTCTCCTGCCATGATAAAACCAGGAACCCAACAACGGGGTCCTTCCCAAAAAAGGGGGACATTGAGATGCCAACAATTGATGGGTTTGCGGAATTCCATTATTTTGTTGTGATTGAGTATGCTCAAAGTCAGCCTTTTCCAAGACTGACTTGATCACGGCCTGGGAACCTCGGGCATCCTCCCCATGTGGCTTCCTCTAGGGGATTGATTCTTCAAACACCCACATGAAATTTCTCAGTTCCTGAGCGATTGGATTGGACAGAAAAAACAGGTAGCCAGACTCTTGTCAACAACTGCAATTATGATCTTCCCCCCGAGCTCCAAAGTCACCAACTGGGGAAGCAAGTCATTGAGCACCCACAGCTTGGTAATCCGAGGTTCCATCCACCACTAAGGAACTGCAGCCACCAAGGAAAGGACCGTACTGGGTATCTGCCAATCCTCCCCAAAAGGCGTTCAAGTCCACCAGCCGAAGATGTGGGAAAAAACAAAAAGGCATTAGATAAAATATCGACCCAGGCGTCCCTTTCCCCCCCCCCCGAACACATCGAAACCACGAGCTTGGGCAAAGACTCCAAAGATGGGGGAGGGGGGGAATAGAAACCAGCCCCAAACCACCAATCCAGAGCAATGAAGGCTTACCTCAGCTTCCCACAAAAAGGTGGTTTGGATTGGTGGTCAAATGGGTTCGGGGTAGCCTCCCATGTTTCCAAACCACCAACACTCGCACCAGCAAGGCAGTGAGAAGAAACATCCTAGACTTCCCTTTGCTTAAGTCTCCAGAAGTAACAGACACCCCGCAAACCAACAGGAACAAACATTTCATATGCGTAACCAAACTTGCTGGTTCTCAGCAGGGAATGAGGGAATGATTCTTATAAACAATCCCCCATGATCCATATGGTTTCTTGGCAAATTCCCGACAAAACGGGGCATTGTACTCAGCAAGTGGTTGGCATTATGAGTCTCCGAAGTGGGTCATAACCAGGCGTACTAACTACTTACTAAGTACCCTGACCCTACTACTGAACACCAGCAGTGGAAGAACAGGAAAACAAACTCAAAATGACCTACTTCCATTTGGTGAAGACCCCTGGGGAAAAAAAAGAAAAGAAAAAAAACATCCAGTAGTGATAAATTCCTTTTGATACCAACAAGGGGGGGGGAACAACAAAAAACATATTCATTTCAGCAAATGGAAGCCGCCAGGGCTCAGGTCCGGCGACCTCACGCGAGAGAGCAGACTGAGCGCTGCCTCCCACTGGCTGGCTTGCCCACAAGCGCTCCTGACGCTGGCAACCCAAAACAACTTAACCCCTTGCCATGGGTTCTTTGGTCGATTTTTCTGCCACAAGTGAATCACGTATTGGAAAGCTTTCCGCTTTTTGGGGGAGGGCCCATACAAGTTGATCTGTCCTTGGTTGCTTTTGACCCCTCTACCAAAAGTTGAGCTTGTTGGGGGGTTAGTTTGGGCAAAACCCCAAAGGATTTCAACCAAAGAGTTAAAGTCTAAGGGCTCAACTCAATAGCAGTAAAGAAACCCTTTCCAGGGGCTCACTTGCAGAAAGGACCTGGACATAAAAGGTGATCACCTTTTGGGACCTCTACTCGAAAACCAAAAGGTCAAACAGTCGATTCGCTTTGAACAACTGAGGGGCTGAAGGGAAAACCAAAGGGTTCCAACATCAAGAGAAAACTCTCAAGCAACCAAAAGGACCCTCAAGGCCAGCTAGAGGAAACAAAGATAAAACAATAAATCAAGAGGATGCGGCTGTCCAAATTGACAAGTCCCACAAGTCCACAGGTCTAAGACCTAAAAAAAGACTGTTCCACTTGAACAAACAGCATCATTGGTTGGAACCAGACTGAAAATATCAAAACTCGGGTTGTCTTTACGTGAGGATCGGGCCCTTTCTCAGGCTAAGGGAAACCGCAAGGAAAACCGAAAGGAAAACCACCATTCTGGAGGGGTGCAATGCCTATTTTTCACATACCCATATGGCTGAGGGTCAAATATAGGTGCCCAAAATGGGTTGCCCTGGAAAACGGTTTAAAGCCTGCGGTTCATTGGTGGCTGAATTTTCACACATACCCATATAACAAGCTTGGGATAGACCAAGATCGTCCAAACCAAAGCAGGTTGGCTCCACAGTCAACAAGCATCAGCGACAAATATCTGGGGTAGGAACTGCAAAAGGCGAAGCGACCATTTGAAACCTTGACCAAAAAAAAGATCGACTCACATTGAAATTGGTCTGTATTTTTTAGGCCCCCCCCCAAAAAAAAGAAGATCATGTTTTCCCTTTTATTTCCTCTTAAAACGGCGGCAACTGGGGTACATACCATGACTAAAATGGTGAACCTTTTGGACCAAGAGAATGTGTTTTCCGCTCCAACCCAACACTAACCCAACAACGGACACCTTCAATCTCATGCGCTCATTCAAAAAAATGGCCATCTGAGGATTCTGACCAACATAATCACACCGTGTTGCTTGTTGATTAAACACAATTTACCGGCAAATCCCTCGGAACAAAAACACACGCACAAGTCTTGCAAACAGTGGCGTGGAAGCCGACAGAATCTCACTTCCTGAGTAGATTGGCCAACAAAAGTCTGAATTTCTTGTCTGCACGCTAAAATGGCCTTTCCAAAAAGTGTAACGCCCAGGAACTCAGAAAGTGAGGAACCCACGACCAAGGCTCAAAATCCCGTACTTTCAGTGAACCTCCCAATCCCCACTAAAACAGGTTCTAAAAGTGGGGTGGTGAATCCACCTACCCACCAAAATGGGATCCCAAAACGGTTTTGACCACCACCAGCCACAAAAAAAAGACGCGAGGCAAGCGGCGCCAGGCGCCCCCCCCACTTTCCGCGAGGCGCAGCCCGGCATTGTACATGACGAGGTCGGGGGAGAGATCCTCTTCCGCGAGCCTCGCTCCCCGAAATTCCGTGGGTGCCGCCCGATAGGAGTCACTGGCTCAAGCCCCGGGATTGAGATGGCCGCAATCCCAGAACCCATATGCCAAACAATGCCCAAATACTAGTAGTGACCTAAAAAAAAAAAAAAAAAAAAACAAAAAAAAAAACATCCATACGGTGTTCCAGGATGTAAAGAAGTAAGAAGGCGGGAATTCCGCAGCTAGTTCTGGCTGGGACTGCTTACTCACCTTCATCTACCCGAATCGGTTTTGAGCAAGTGGCGCCTTTGCTGCTCAAAATGGGTGGGCGCGGGTCCGTATGGATTCCTCAAGCCTGATTCGGAATCCGTGAAAAACCCCTGGTCAAAGGACAATTACTTTCATGTTTTAGGATTGCTTCAAAATGATTGTGCAGAATCCCTAGGTCCTGCAGTAGAGAGGTTAGAATAAGGGTATACCCTTTTTTCGGTAGTCTATTTTAGTAGGGGAACCCTCACCCGTAAAAGGGCACTACTGGGGGACCTAGTCCCGGTTTGGGAGAAGTTTGGCATACTTTGCCCAGAGCAAGTCAAAGCAGCAAACTGGTGCTGCTCTTATGGAGAAAATGACTTGTCGGAGAGTGGTAGTGCCCTACATGGTACTACCTGCTACAGGGTTCCCTGGTGAGCAACCCACTGTATCTCACTCCCGCGGATTGGTCAGAAAAAGTCAACAAACCTTCTGTTTACAACTATAAAACAGAATTCTCAAAAAGTTGAAAGTCCGAAATGGACTCAGGGAGTGAGGTATGGGTATAGTCCCTTTTGTGATTTGGGGCTACGAACAGACTGCTTTTAAACTGGTCCAAACACACCCAGCGAAATGGAAAAGACTCACCACTCAACACCTTGTTCAGTTACAGGGTCCCAACAAGCAACACAAACACCTCTCACATACTGCCCAAATATGTGAATTTATCATTTTTTGCCGGGACCCCTAAAAAAGGCTTGGTTTCCTTTGGTCTTCCTTTAAAACCCACGAAAAAGGTGGGGTACCAACTCCAAAAAGACGAGCCGCCAGCAGCGAGGTCTTTTCGGGTGCGGGGCCCTGTGGCAGGCCCAACCAGGCTGCGGCTTTTGCAGCTGGGATGGGGCTGCGGAAAGCTCTGCACCAAAATCCAACAGACGGCGTGTTGGACATAAGAAATGCTCCTTACCTCTTTACCTGTTACCCCTCCCAGGGGCAGCATTTCAGACTATTGCGGGGGGGGGGGGGGGTCCACGTGCCACGCGGTGATTCGAAGACGCTTCACTAAATCTGTTCATTGTGCGGGCTTGCGCAACTCAGTTTGTCAAAAACATTGGGGTGTTCGATTCCCCCCGGGTGCGCTTTCGCATCCTTGGCAGTTCCAGTGGCACATCGCCAGCATCACCTGCATCATCCGCATCAGCGCCTGCCAAGGATGCGGATGATGCAAGTGATGCTGGGGATGTTGTCCATGCTGGTGAAGGAAATGAAGGGGGGAAAGGGGAAAGGATCTCAACAGCGAAAGGGGGGGAAAGATCTCAGGGAGGAAAGGGAGAAGATCTGGGGAAAAAATGCCTTAAGGGGGAAAGGGGGGAAAAGATCTTTGGGAGGAAAATGGAAATCTTTCTCGGGGCCCTAAGGGGCAATGGGGGGACAGCATCTCAAACGGGAAAGATCTCAGGGAGGAAAGGGAGAAGATCTGGGGAAAAAATGCCTTAAGGGTGTTGAGATCCTTTCCCCCCTTCCCTTTAAGGCCTTCCAGATCTCCCTTTTCCTTCCTAAGATTGTTTCCCGCCTTTCCTTGTTGAGATCCTTCCCACCCTTTCCCCCCTCAGGCCTTTCCCCCCCCCCTGAGAGCTTCTCCCTTTTCCTTTCCTTCCTTAGATCTTTCCCCCCTTTCCCTGTTGGCCTTTTTCTCTCAGATCTTCTCCCTTTCCTCCCTAAGATCTTTTCCACCCCTTTCCCTGTTGAGATCCTTTCTCCCCTTTCCCCTCTACGGCCATTGCCCCCAGATCTTCTCCCTTTCCTCCCTAAGATCTTTCCCCCCCTTTCCCTGCTCAGATCCTTTCCCCCCTTTCCCCCCTAAGGCCTTTCCCCCCCTGAGATCTTCTCCCTTTTCCTCCCTAAGATCTTTTGCCACCTTTCCCTGTTGAGATCCATTCCCCCTTTCCCCCCTAAGGCCCTTTCTCTCTCTGAGTTTTTCCCTTTTCCTCCCTACGATGTTTTCCCCCCTCTCCCTGTTGAGATCCTTTCCCTCCTTTCCCCCCTAAGGCCTTTTTTCCCCCCGCGATCTTCCCCCTTTTCCTTCCTAAGATCTTTTCCCCCCTTTCCTTGTTGAGATCCTTTCCCGCCCTTTCCCCCCTAAGGCGTTTTCCCCCCCAAGATCTTCTCCCTTTTCCTCCCTAAGATCCTTTGCCCCCTTTCCCTGTTGAGGTCCTTTCCCCTCTTTCCCCCCTAAGGCCTTTCCCCCCCTGAGATCTTCCCCCTTGTCCTCCCCAAGATCTTTTCCCTTGGTTGAGATCCTTTCCCCCTTTCCCCCCAAGATCTTCTCCCTTTTCCTCCCTAGGATCCTCTCCCACCTTTCCCTGTTGAGCTCCTTTCCCCCTTTTCCCCCTAAGGCCTTTTCAGATCTTCTCCCTTTTCCTCCCGAAGATCCTTTCTCCCTCTGAGTTTTCCCTTTTCCTCCCTACGATGTTTTCCCCCCTCTCCCTGTTGAGATCCTTTCCCTCCTTTCCCCCCTAAGGCCTTTTTTCCCCCCGCGATCTTCCCCCTTTTCCTTCCTAGGATCTTTTCCCACCTTTCCTTGTTGAGATCCTTTCCCGCCCTTTCCCCCCTAAGGCGTTTTCCCCCCCAAGGTCTTCTCCCTTTTCCTCCCTAAGATCCTTTGCTTGCTTTCCCTGTTGAGATCCTTTCCCCCCTTTCCCCCCTAAGGCCTTTCCCCCCCTGAGATCTTCTCCCTTGTCCTCCCCAAGATCTTTTCCCTTGGTTGAGATCCTTTCCCCCTTTCCCCCCGAGATCTTCTCCCTTTTCCTCCCTAGGATCTTCTCCCACCTTTCCCTGTTGAGCTCCTTTCCCCCTTTTCCCCCTAAGGCCTTTTCAGATCTTCTCCCTTTTCCTCCCTAAGATCCTTTGCCCCCTTTCCCTGTTGAGATCCTTTCCCCCTTTCCCCCCTAAGGCCTTTTCCCTGCCTGGGACCTTCTCCCTTTCCTCACTGAGATCTTTCCCCCCCTTTCCCTGTTGAGATCCTTTCCCCCCTTTCCCCCCTACGGCCTTTCCCCCCGCTGAGATCTTCTTCCTATTCCTCCTTAAGATCCTTTGCCCCCTTTCCCTGTTGAGATCCTTTCCCCCCTTCCCTTTAAGGCCTTTCCAGATCTTCTCCCTTTTCCTTCCTAAGATTGTTTCCCCCCTTTCCCTGTTGAGATCCTTCCCACCCTTTCCCCCCTCAGGCCTTTCCCCCCCCTGAGAGCTTCTCCCTTTTCCTTCCTTAGATCTTTCCCCCCTTTCCCTGTTGGCCTTTTTTCCCCCAGATCTTCTCCCTTTCCTCCCTAAGATCTTTTCCACCCCTTCCCTGTTGAGATCATTTCTCCCCTTTCCCCCCTAAGGCCTTTGTCCCCAGATCTTCTCCCTTTCCTCCCTAAGATCTTTCCCCCCCCCCCCTTTCCCTGCTGAGATCCTTTTCCCCCTTTCCCCCCTAAGGCCTTTCCCCCCCCTGAGAGCTTCTCCTTTTCCTTCCTAAATCTTTTCCCCCCTTTCCCTGTTGGGCTTTCCCCCCTAAGTCCTTTTCTCCCAGATCTTCTCCCTTTCCTCCCTAAGATCTTCCCCCCCCCTTTCCTCCCTAAGATCTTTCCCACCCTTTCCCTGTTGAGATCCTTTCCCCCCTTTCCCTCCCAAGGCCTTTCCCCCCCTGAGAGCTTCTCGCTTTTCCTTCCTAAGATCTTTTCTCCCCTTTCCCTGTTGGCCTTTTTTCCCCAGATCTTCTCCCTTTCCTCCCTAAGATCTTTCCCCCCCCCAGTTCCTTGTTGAGATCATTTATTTCCCCCCTTTTCCTTCTAAGGCCTTTTCCCACCCTCAGTTCTTCTCCCTTTTCCTCCCAAAGATCTTTCCCCCCCTTTCCTCCCTAAGTCCTTTTCCCTGAGTTCGTCTCCCTTTGCCTCCCTAAGATCTTTTCCCCCCTTTCCCGCTTAAGATCCTTTCCCCCGTTTCCCCCCTAAGGCCTTTTCCCCCCAAGATCTCCACCCTTCTCTTCCCAAAGTCTTTTTCCCCCTTTCCCGTTTGAGATCCTGTCCCCCCATTGCCCCTTAGGGCCTGTTCCCCCCGAGAAAGATTTCCATTTTCCTCCCAAAGATTTTTTCCCCCCTTTCCCTTAAGGAGGAATAGGGAGAAGATCTCAGCGGGGGGAAAGGCCGTAGGGGGGAAAGGGGGGAAAGGATCTCAACGGGGAAAGGGGGGGAAAGATCTCAGGGAGGAAAGGAAAAAGATCCCAGGGAGGAAAAGGCCGTAGGGGGGGAAGTGGGGGAAAGGGAGGAAAAGGGAGAAGATCTCAGGGGGGAAAAGGCCTTAGGGGGGAAAGGGGGGAAAAGATCTCAACAGGGAGAGGGGGGAAAACATCTTAGGGAGGAAAAGGGAAACATCAGAGGGAGAAAAGGCCTTAGGGCGGAAAGGGGGAATGGATCTCAACAAAGAAAGGGGGGGCAAAAATCTCAGAGGGGAAGGGGGCAAGGGGACAATTCCAAAGGGACGCAAATAAGAGAGCAGGCCTGTAATGTCGGCGGCCTGAGCCGGAGGCACTAAAATATAAACCCAAAAAGATAGTCCAGCTGACTGATTCCATTGTTCGGGGGGGGGGAGGGTCCGTGTAGAGAATGGTCGAACATTACCACCCAAAAAGATGGGTCTTGCGATAAGGGGAAGACTCTTACAAGCCATCAGCCAGGGTAGGGGCTGTGGAAGGAATGCCTACCTTGCCGAGGGGAGGGGAGGGGAGCACCTCAACAACGCAGCCACCCAAAAAAGAAACTACCACAAACGGCACAGTCCCCCCCGAAAAAAACACACACATGCAAACAAACAACAAGAACCACAAAGCATAAAGCAATAAGCAAAACACAAAATTAGCAAACAAAGGAAACCACCAAAGGGTGTCTTTTTCTGAGGGTACCTTTTTTTGGGGGGGTGCTTTTTGTAAGGAAACCAAAAGGAAGCCCGTCTCATTTTGGGGGGTCTGATTCCTATAAGACACCCTAAGGCATAAAGCAACCCGAAGGCACGCCTTAGCAGCTGCAAAGCACGCTGCCAAGCGGTGCCATTGGCGCAAGCAGTGCAGGCAGCACTGTACCTCGTGTGACCAGCGAGCCGGCTGGTCGGCGAGTGACGGGAGGGGGACGGCAAACGTGGCGGTCTTTCTTACAGAAACTGCGGGTTGGGGGACCCTATCACCCTACCCCCCAATTGGTGCTTTGGTTTGGTGGTAACGATAGAAATGGGGTACCTTCCCATGTTTCACAAGGTGGGGTTCTCAAACTCCCACCAATCCAAACCAGCATCTAAGAGTCTTCACTGCTGCAGGATAACATAGAACCCAGACAACCACCATTTTGTTGGATCGGAATCTCCTGACGCAAAATGGACCCCTTTTAGGTTCCATATTCAAAAAACAAAAATGGAGGGGAGCAGCCCCCAGAAATCCGTTACAACCAGCTCCAGGAAACTAAGGCAACTCGCCCAAGTACCCACATACGAGGATGCTAGAGACATGGGTGTGGGTCAAAGTAGTGTAACACAAAAAAGGGTTGCCCTTGTAAATGGAAACAAGGACGAACACCTGCGCTCCCCTGATCAATTCAGTTTTCACCCGTACCCAGGTGTCCATTCAATTTCTGTTTGTTGCGTCCTGTAAAATTTCCTGTAGCTGGCCTCGCTGAAATAATAGACGTCTGTTGGTTGATTGATATATGGGCGTGGCTCAAAATTAAAAGGCTAGGGTTACGCAGGTTTTAGTCTTTGGTTCCATTTACCAAGGTGCCAATTTGGTACATGTTTGTGAGTAGTGGCAATCCTTCACTTTTCTGTGCCATTTTCTTGAATGTGTTTATGCATACCTGACGGGGATCTTGCGGATCCATGGAGTTTTTGATTTTTACATGGGTGAGTTTTCCTTCGAATGTACTTCTGTTGGGAATCTTTTCGAGAGAAACAAAAAGGACCCTGTTTCCCTTGAGGAGGTTCCTGTACCTTTAAACGACTCGCGCCACACACGCACACTTGCTCCATAAGAAGTTGCCTCGAGGGCTCACCCTGGGCAATGACCTCAAAGCATGAGCTCCAGAAGGGGCAAAACATGGGTAACTTGTTTCTGGACCCTGCAGGAATACCTCGGGACTGCGAGAAGACTTGAAATCTACGTCTGCAAAATGAGAAGTCCAAACTCGTTTTGTTAAACACCTCTGGGGCGAAACCGCTGCTAGAATCCTGAAGGTGGTTCTGAGAACAGTGCGACCCTAATCCCGCTTCCGTTCTCTAGGGGGGTGTTCCCTCCAAAAGTGTGAATGACCACTCTATAAATCAACCTTGATCCCGGGTACCTTTCTAATTTTAGGGCCAATCAATAAACATGTGCTACTTAGCAGCCACACATCTCCCTTTGGCAAACCCCCCGAAAACGGGCGCCCTCAAGAAAACAAACAAACTTTCCCACTGTGGCCAAACACCTCCGAGAAAGTTGGATGTCCGTCAGGGGTAACTCACGCATGGAAATGAAGCACCTTCGTAACTGGGCTCTCCAAACTGATCCCCTGCAAAAAACCAGCAGACATGGGTGAACTGGAAACCCAACCACTCACCACACTAAAAACAACCTGAAAAAGCTAAGTTGAACCGGATGGCTGGGAACCACCGAGCTACCTCCCCCGCCCAAAAACAAACAAACAAACGACACACACTAAACCCCCACTCCCGGTTCACCTCACCGAAACCGTCTCGAAGCCGATATTTTTTGCGGCCGCGCCGCGTCACCACGTCCGGGCGAGGCGCCAGGAAAGCGAGGCACAGGGCCTGCTGCCAGGCCGTGGCTTTTTCGCAGGCGCTGATGCTGGAGTTGAAGCTGATCCTGGGGTTGGAGGAAAAAAATGCGCCACCTACAAACCTAAAAACCATTAGAACCAAAATCGGCAAAAATGGACTAACATGGGCTAAATGGGATCCTCGGGCTTGGCCAAAACGGGGTAAATGGCTACCCCCACTAAACCAACTAAAACCCAAAACACCCTAAAAACCTCAAAACCTAAAAACCCAGATGGCTGGGAGCCACCCAGTTTTGTGGACACCCTTTTTGGGCTTGGTGTTTTCAACCGGAGAAGACCTGGGCTTGCAACAAAAAAGACCTGGCCCCGCCTGCCATTTTTGGTTCGCAGAAGGTTCGAACCCTTGGATCGAGACCCCGGACCCTGTTGACCCATAAACCCGTCCCACGAGGCGGGTGTTCCTTTAAAAAGTGGGCTGAATCCCCACTAAAAGGGGACACTCCCCTATTAACCAACCAGGGATTATTAATCTGGGGATAACCTTCTGTGTTGAGTGGGAAGGATTGGTTGCAACTTAGTACTCACAGAATCCAACTTAGCCATTTCATCCTTTCCAAGCAATTGCTTAAACCACAGACAATTCATGCATGGTGTATAGACACGGGTTTCACTGCCGTCAATCGGGAGCGCATGCACCGCGCATCTTGCCCGGGGAGGCTTCAAGTGCCTTGTGAGGATGGACAAAATCCTGCACCACCTAAGACACCCTGGAATGAGGATTCTCCCTGCAATGAGGTTTCTCGTGGTTTCTGAGGTGGTGCGAACGGATTTCGTCCATCCACAGTAGGTGTGTCCACAGTAGTTTAGGTTTCTCGGTTGCTTTCTGCTCCCCTGCTGAAAGCTTAAGTTTTAGTGGTTTACTGGGAAAACCCATTGATTGGCCAAAAGTTGAAGTCCTAACATCCCTTGGCAAAATGCAGCAAAGGTTTCTTTTGCCAAGTCTCACATTGGGCGTCACGAGCATCACCTCCATCTCCTGCAAGGTCTCCAAAGCGAGCTGCCACTCCGAGGCTTTCTCCAAGGAGCTGATGGCAGCGCTACCTGAAATGACGCTCACTCGCGGCACAGGGTGGGGAGAACTCCTCTCTGAGGGTTTTGGTATCACACCCTGGGATTACACCCTTGGGAAATGACCCGGAAACGAATAAACAACTCGCGGTGTCACAGGTTGGGGAGAAATCCGCAGGATGGGGCAATGTACTGGTCTAAGAATCACAACACCGCATCTACATATTTCTTGACATGACCCAACCTGTTTCCTGACTTGGACCCAAATTCTCTCTGAGGGTTTTGGTATCACACCCTGGGACTACACCCTTGGGAAATGACCTGGAATGGTTCAAAATAACACGGTTTTATCCGGACATGTGCCTAAATGAAGTCAATACCCAGTGGGTGTATTCCCAGAGTGCAACACAAAAACCATTAGATCCTCAAAATGGGGCGATGCACTGGTCTAAGAGACCAGCTGCAGGACATTCGGCAGGAAGCATTTGTTTTTGGAGATGCGCTTATATTCGACCATGTGTTTTGCTGCCCATTTGTCCGAAAAGGTCTGACCTCTTGTCGAGCACAAATTCCGATCGAGTAGGCTGGCCAACAAAGTAAGCAAACTTCTCCTGATAGATGGTTAACCAGCCATTTTCCTTTTGCTTTTCAAAGGGTGGTTCCCTTGGTTACCTTACAGGGACATGGAATCACTGGGTTCTACTTTCGACTACAAGCGCCTTCCCAGAAAGGGTGTCTGGAGCCCGCAACGGAACTCAGGGAGTGAGTGACCCTTTCAACCAGCAGTCAGGGAATGTGACAAGCCGCAAGTAGATTAAGGGAACCCTTCGACAAACTGGGCACCCTTCGGCTTCAGGACAGCCGGAACGGGATACCCAACGAACGCCAAGCCGGCTTTCCAGAGTTCTCTGCCAAGCTGAAAAGCCAGACTTCTTGTAGCTTCCCCTCACTTCCCGTTTAAACACCAGCCCACAAACAACCCCCCCAGGTTCGTTTTCATTGGCCCCAATCCCAAGTGAGCCCCCGAGAACTGTGAGCTGCGAGGTGCAGGTGATGACGTTTGGCCGTATCTCGCTGCTGCTCACCTGGAGAATTGGCTCAACCCCCGCAAGCATACGCCACCCCACTGATTTTTACCATGGGCAAAACCCGAAGTGCTGTGCAAAAAGCAGTCGTTGCCTCACGTCCGATCGAGTGGACCGGCCAGAAGAAGGAACCAAACTTCTGGTTTGCCACTCAAATAGTCCAAACCCAAAATGTTTGAAGTCCAGCAACTCAGGTAGTGAGTTGGGGGGGTGCTGGTGGTTTAAGGCTGTTTGAGGAGGGAAATTACCCTCTTCACCTTGAAAAGGGGAACCAAAAGGACACGAACCTTAGGGGCCTCTGAGTTTGGCACATGTTTACATTGAACATATGGAAAAAAAAACAACACCTCAGCCCAGTGGATTTCAATGCAGAAGTTCAACTGCTTTTTGCTGTATGTTGAAGGGACCCCCTTCCAAAATAATAATCGGGTGGCACTGCGCTGAGTTTTTTTCACAACTTCCAATCCTCGTGCCCCGTGGATTTCCAATACCCATTTTGTGGTTTTAAAGGGAACTCCCGAACTGGCTTCAAAGAAAAACACCAGGTACTGGGTGTCATTTTCAGGCTTTCAAGGGAAACCCAAACCGAAAAAAATATAATATATATATATAAACAGGGTACCAGAAAGGGTACGAACATATTCAACCCTCGCCTCCCCCAGCAGATGTAGGGCATGCTGCCACTGCGCAGCTTTCTCGCAGGCACCTCAGCTTTCTCGCGACCGCGACCGCGTGAGTGGGAGACCCGCTTAACCCGTTTGGGACAGTTTCAAACATGGGGCAGGTTCCTGCCTGTAGAAATGCACATGGGTGGTGCCTTTTTTCGGAGTTGGTATCCCTTGGTTGTTTGTTTTCCTGTAGGGGTTGCCAAAAAAGGGGGAAACCCAAAGGTCATTTCAGGTCCATTCGCTGTGGGCAAGTGAAGGTTGAATTCAAAAACCAGCGGACGCCCCAAACAAGTTCACAAGGGCCAAGCTTGGAGGGGAACCGGACTGTGGTTCTTTGAGGCCCCTGCAAACCACCCCAAAAAGGTACCCGCAAATGACACGCTTTTTCAAAAGGTCCCACCATGTCCGAGTGCACGTCGGGGCTTTCACATATGGCTGTCTGTTTCCTTAAACCGACCCACAATCCAAGGGTTTTCCTTTTTGGTTGCCCTTTAAGACCTACCACGCAAAAAGGGTCCCCCCCCAAAAAAAAAAGATTGGCGGGTTTTTCTGTTGGCTTTGGTTTGTGTACTACACGTTTTCCTTTTGGCTTCCCTCCAACACCTGACAAGAGTACCAACTCTAGGTCCTCCAGTGGAGAGGTTAGAATAAGGGTGCCCTTTTTTCTGTAGTCTATTTTAGTATGGGAACCCTCCCAACCAGAAAGGGGAGAGAAGGGCACCTGGCTGGGGGACCTAGAACTCCACCCATATTTCTTGCTCGAGTTTTGCCAGGGCGCTAATGGCAGCGCTGTAGGTCACAACGCTGGGCTGCAAGGATCTCGTGACCTCCTGGCTTGTTGGCTGCCGTTTGTGCTGACCTGCACCCCAGGCTTTATTTTCCGCATTGCCCAAATCGGGTCTCTGGCAAACTGCATGACCAGCAACTAGCTTCTCAAACGGGTGTGTCTCAAAATAGGGGTACCCCAAAAACTGATGGTGTTCCTTTTGGCTTCCCTTTAAACCAACCCTACAAAGGGTCCCCCCCAAAAAAATGAGAGCCACCCACACGGATGTGTCTTGCGCGGGAACCTTACCAAAATCTAGCCCCTGCAAGTGAAGGCTGGAGCCGGCATGTTGCTTCACTTGTCGTGCAAACAAAAAAACTCCTGGCTTGCTCAAAACTGCCATGAGCTCATGGGGCCCACCCTGGGGAAAACATATTCGGACTCTGTACTTGTATTCGGACAAGATAGTAAGCTGTTGGTAACCTAGGTTATAACTCACTTGTGAGTCCCCCTTCGTGGGGTTGACCTTGCTAGAAGGGGGTTTTATCCCAGGTGGCTAATTGGCTAACTTGGCCGAACATTCAAGCAGATTCAAGCAGTCAACCTGACAAAATAAACATATGTGAAGTCAAGAAGACCCCAATTCTGGTGGTTGAAGGGACGCAAAAGTCATCAAATGAGAACGGTTCTCCAAACATGTAACCACTTTGAGGGACCCAGGATCATGAAACACCTGCAAATCAACGGAAGGAGCCCGCTAAAAGGAACACACACAGCCAGTTGGTATATTTGTGTAGGTTCCTCAGGGACCCCAACTGTTTCCCTTTTGGGCTTACAGATTTTTATCTGCGAAACAACTATGATTTCTCAACTATCGCGCAGAACTTCCAGGGCTTGATTCTCCATGCTTTTTGAGCATGTCAAAAACCGGCCAAGTTTCTCAATGTCCGTTTGCCTCCAACATGGCACCTGGCAGGTCTTAACATGGCACCTGGCAGGTCTCAACATGGCACCTGGCAGGTCTCTTCAGGAACTCAGAAGCAAGTCGGTTAGTGGGAAGACTCCCATTCCCACACTCCTCCAGCAAGGACAGGCCCAGTTCCCACTGGGCGCTGTTTGCACATGCGCTGATGCAGGTGTTACAAACCTCGGGCAGTTGGACAGTTGGCAGCTTCAGGTTTGCACATTCTGCTTGCATCCTGCTTGGAGAGAGAAACAAAGCTAGGTTGGCCCGGTCGACCACTGCACAAAAACATAAACTTTTCGCTGGCTTTGTTGCGATTCAGAAAACGACCCAATGAGCAACCATTCAGGCATAGAAGGTGTCCAAACACCTAAACGTCTTCTGGCTCTCCTCTTGTGTTTTCCCTCAAAATCCCCTGGAACAAATTTCTCGCGCATGAGGGCCGGGGGGGGGGTCTAGCGAACGATTTCCCTCTGCGGCCCACACAAAGAGCCCATGGGTTGGTCTCAAAATTGGGGACCCCCCCCAGAGTGGTGGTTTCCTATTGGTTTCCCTTCAAACCAACCGCACATGGGGTACACTGAGGAAAAGGCACCCCCAGATTTGCGACTCGAACTCTCCCGGAGAAAAAAAGAAGAAGTCGGTTTTGACTCGTGCCAGGGTTCCTAAAGTTCACTAGGGCGACATCGCTTAAGTATTCTACTGTGGATGTACGAATCCCATCTCGCACCACCCAGAAACCCTGGAATGATATGATGCCAACCTCTGAATCCCAACAAACAAATATGATTCCAACCTCTAAATCCCAACAAACAAATATGATTCCAACCTGTAAATCACAAACAAATGTGATGCCAACCTCTCAATCCCAACAAACAAATATGATTCCAACCTGTAAATGCCAACAAACAAATATGATTCCAACCTGTACCCAACAAAAACATATGAATCCGACATGTAAATCACAAACAAATGTTACGCCAACCTCTGAATCCCAACAAACAAATATGATTCCAACCTGTAAATCCCAACAAACAAATATGATTCCAACCTCTAAATCCCAACAAACAAATATGACTCCAACCTGTAAATCACAAGCAAATGTGATGCCAACCTCTCAATCCCAACAAACAAATATGATTCCAACCTGTAAAATCCCAACAAACGTTATGGTTTCAACCATGGCTTCACTTCGCGTTGCGAAATCAAACAATTGTCCTATCCACGGTATGGAATCCCAGGTGAGGGTTCGACCCATGTTGACAACCATGGTCTGGGCTGTCCATTTCCTGATCGGCCAAGAGTCGAACTTGCGGGTTAAATGCAGACCCAACCTCGGTTGCTTTCTGCTCCCCTGCTAAAATATTAACTTTTAGTGGTTTGATGGAAACCCCATTAGTTGGCAAAAAGTTAAAGTCCTCATCCAAGCAAAATGCACTAAAGCATTAACCAACTAAAAACTAAAAGCCTAAGGAACCAGACGGCTGGAAACCACCAAGTTTATTTTCACCCCTTTGACACGGGTGTTCCTTTTGTTGAAAAGGGGTGCCGGGGATCGTACCTTTAAACCTTTGTTTGTCGAAGAAGGTCATGCGCAGACTGAGAAGCGATGACGTCAGCTTCCAGATGGCCTGACACGAGGTCGCCCAAGAGCTGCATCGCTTCTGCCCAGCGGCAGGCCCGTTCGCACACACTCATGGCAGTGCTGAAGACGATGACGTCTGCCTGAGTTGATAAGGCCGGGTTCCAAAATGTGCGGCCTCTGAAACGATGAAAACACCTACATGACACTTGCCAAACGTTGGGCCCTTGATGGAAAGCTACGATGACCTAAAAGGGGTTTCCCATTCTTCCCTTTCAGCATCACCATACTAAGTAGTAAACTCACCTAAAATCAGCCCAAGAAGCGACGCTTAGAACCGCCCAAGGGACCTTTTGGGGAGCTGTGCAAAGTGCACAAATGTGCCGGTCTAAAACTTGGCAGCTGTTGCCCCGCAAACAATTGTTCACTTCTTCTTGCGTCGGAACGTTCCCAATGCGTCTTTGTTTAGGGGAACCCACCCAAATATATGTATACATATATATATATATATGGTGGTTTCCCTTTTGCTTCCCCTCCAAACACCACAGGAACAAAAGAAAAAACAAAACATAATAATCATAATGATAATGATAATAATAAACAATGAAAAAAAAACAAAAACGAGGTACCCTCAAAATCCGCCGCAACCAAATGGCTGACTCACGGCCCAGTTGCTCTCAGCTGGCCTCCTTTCAGGTTGTTCAGCAGCCAAAGCGCTTTCGGCCAATCCCGGGTCCTTGGCTGTGGCGAGACCCCTCTGTTTTTGTTGGGTATTTAAAGCTTTTTGTGGGCCCAATGCGGAAAATCCACCGTTTCCCAGAAAGTTAAAGTCCAAAGCTCGTTGATGTCCAAATTGCCGCCTGAAATCACTTGCGGCCAACCGATCCAGATGTGAACCTGAGAAGCAAGTCTTGGTTGCTGGCAAGACCCCTCTGCAAAACGTGAAGAACTTTGTTGGGGGTCCAATGCGGAAAGTCAGGAAAGTAAGTCCAAAGTCCAAGCAAATAGCCACAAAGAAGAAAGCCAGCAACCCCCAACGACGGCGTTGATGGCCAAAACTCCCCAAGTGCTGTCCAAAAAGCAGTTGGGGGCCGGTACATGACGGTGTTCCGTGGCCTTGTGGTTGGATATGGTTCATTTGCATGGGAATCCACCATATGCCATCTTTTTCACGGGTGCTCTCATTCGAGGGTGCTCCCAGACGTCACGGTAGAGAATTGGCCCACGCAAGGTCTGCGTCTTGGTGAGGATTTTGAAATTATCTCGATTCGGCGATTGATACAGAAGGAGTCCTCGAAGTGACATTAGTTGCAAGGGACATGGTTGCACATGGTCACATGCTGCAAATGCTCAACTCTTTCGCGGGTTCACAAGTTCAGCATCTAATGCAAAAGTGCCAATCCAAACCTACCCACAACTCACAAAAGTAGTCACAAAGATGACAAACGGACAAACTGTCCACTGTGGGGGGGAGGGGCTGGTCAAAATGAGGGGCCCATTTGGGTTTGTGTCCTGCCATGACGCTGGCGGCATCGCTTGATCTCGTTGTTGCATGTCACCACAGCTGCCATGGAAAGTGTAATGCTTTCGAGCCAGGCAGCGAACACGCGCCAGCAAACACCCAACATATCAAGCACGTCAGTGTTTGGTGCACTACTCCCTCAACGCAGGTTTAATCTTTTGAGGCTTCTCTTTTAGAGTTTTGCAGGGAACATGAACTCACTGGCTGAGTGGATGGTCCAAAAAAAGTCCAAACTTTATATTTACCACTAAAACGGTCTTCCCCCAAAAGTTTAAAGTTCATGAACTCAGGAAGTGAGTGAAGAGGAGCCGCCCATCTTGGCGCTACCCCAGCCAGTTGGACACAAGCCCGCGCCCGCGGAGCATCCAAACAATTCAGCCTGCGACGAAAGAGGTTCGGCCACAGTGACGTTTGGTTCCACTGACTTGGTGATGGGTCAAAATTAAACCACCCGGGACCCGCAGGTTTTAGTCCATGTTTCCATTTACCAGGACTCCATTTTGGGTACATATTTTTGACCCACAGCCACTTGGTGATGTTGCAAAGGTTTGGATCGGCGTTCCTACAACCCCCAGCAAACCAAGTAGCAACTAAGATGGCCAATGCGGGCGCTCAAATGTGCCAAAACTCTGTTGGTCAGAGCAACCTGGAGTTCTCCCAACCCCCTCAGAGGTTTTGCAGACTTTTTCTCCTTCCTGTCTGCCTGGTTGACAGCCTGCAATCTTGCTGCCTATCTTCACTGCAAGCGGGGGACCCTGATTTTGTGGATCCCCCAACCAGTTTTAGACATGCACATGTGGGAGTTTCTCAAAATGGTGGACCCCCTCTGGTTGGAAGTTAAAGAGAAGAGCAAGCAAGAGGAAACTTACCACCGTATGGTACCACGAGTCTGAGAAACGCCCATGTGGCCATTGGTCAAAATCCCGAACCCCAAGTGAACATCCCAATCCCAACTAAAATAGACTAAAATGGGTGGTGAATTCACCTACCCCCAAATGGTACCATTGGCTTTGACCCACAGCCATGTTTTTGTTCCAGCATTTCTCTTGAGATGACGCTTGCTCCTTTTTGCACACGTCCCATTCCATGGCTCTGTGATATGTACTGGACATCCGCTAGCATTTTGCACCTCAGAAGGAAGAGTCCTGCACGCACGGCGGCTGTTTTAGGTGGTCTCACCATTTTGTTCGATCATATTAGGTGGCTTTAACAGGAAACCTGGGTGGTCTTACCAGTTTTCTTCGATCATATTAGGTGGCTTCAACAGGAAGCCAGGAAAAACACCTGTTTGATGGAAGCCCTGGGGTGTTGCTTCCCGCTTGCTTGAGGCTACCCTTTAAACACCCATGCTTCAAAGGTCCCATGAGACAACCCCAAAGGTGGGGAAAAGAAATTAATGATAGACACATATCCTTGAATTATAGATCCCTTTCCTGTTCTCTTCTCCATCTGGATCTCTATCTCATAAGCTGTTGACCATAAGATCCCAAAAGCATTATATAGAAACAGTAAATGATTAAGAGATGACAGTAAATAATGTGATAAAATATGAATTCTAAATTGGTGATTACATGCTTAATAAGAACCTTTCTGTAATGACTTCTCCCATGATAGACCTCTTCTAATTTGTAAGGATTACATGAGGTATAGGGAAGAAGAACCCAACAGATTACAGGATAATGCTTCCCTACCTCTTCACCAAGGACTGACAGGTGATAGAGGGAAGCATTGGAAAGGATAGGGAGATAACATGAAGATTGCCACGAGGGAGGCGAAAGGACAGTTTTGGCACAAGGAAAACCGCAGGACCCAAAGCCAATTGGGTCTTGGTTGACGTTGGGTTTGGGGAGCAACAATTGAAACATGTTGGCGGTTAAATCGGGATTTCCCGCTAAACCATAATAAGCAAAGATGCAAAATGTTTCCCAACAACAACCATATTGAGGGTAAACCTTTCCCTTGGGTTTAAAAGGAAACCAAGAGGACAATAACAATTTTGCAGGGGGTCAGGGAGGGGGGTTCCCCGAACAAAAACAACACTTCAATTCAAATCTTGTGGTTTGGTCATTGCGTTGAGGTTCGGAGCAAACCCTGCTGTTGCGACTTGTTGAGGTTCACAAGTTCAAAACATACTTCCAAGAAGCGCATGGGGAGCTGTTGCATACATCTGTCAGTTCTCATGACCATGTTGGGGGACAGGTACAGGGGCCCTTGGAAAACAAACGTCAAGCTTGGACCAAACAGAGACAGATCAACCGCCCGAAAAGGAGAATGCTCCTGAAGTTTGGCATGCGAAGAAAGATAAACATAGACCGCAACCAAGTCTTTGCAGAATCCGCTGGCGACACCATCCCCAAAGGGGGTCCCACATTTCAGGACAGCTGATGCCCGTTTAAGTCCACCTCCAAACTTGAACGACACCAGCCACAACCAAGTAACAAACCAAGCAAAAGCAACAAGGTGAAGCCCCTCCCCAAACAGCTGCCCAACTTCCCATTGGATTCCCTTTCCTTGAAGGCAATACACTCATTCGTGCCTGTGTACCCGGACATCTGGTGAATTTACTGGCTTTGCAGCTCCAGCCCCCCTTGGAATCCATCCAAACCAGGAAAGTTGAAAGGCTGCCAACTCAGTGCTTGTTCCTGGCGACACATCAAATCAAACAAAAACGTGCCAGACTTTGGCTAGGTTAACCCTTTGACTCGAACGTTCACCGTGAACACCGAATCTCGGTTGCTTTCTGCTCCCCTGCTAACAGTTTAACTTCTAGTGGCTTAATGGAAAACCCATTAGTTGGCAACAAGTTAAAGTCCTAACATCCAAGCAACATGCACCAAAGAAACTTCCCCTCCCCTTCGCAGTCCCAAAAAGGTCTCGTCTCCTGGCCAGCAGCTTCTGTGGTGGACTGCTGGCCCCGACGAGCTCCATAGCCTGGCGGCTTGAGGCGGTGGGGAGTGGTCAAATACTTGGTTGCTGTCGACCCCCCTGAAAAATGTTTAACTTTTTGGGGGGTTAGTTGAACACCCCCTGATTTCCCCAAAAGTTAAAGTCTAAAGATCCAACCCAATAGCAGTCAAGAATAGATGGCACTGGTTTAGATGGGTTCTATTTCAGTTACCAGGGCCCCTTTTTGGAGCCTGCCGCCTTGTGCCGTTGAAGGGGCGACCAAAAACTGCCCCTGATGTGTTAAAGACCATTGACGCAAGACACCAAGTCAGTCGGGCTTGCAAGGGAAGGGGAAGCCCCAAGGTGGGTCATTGTACTTCGGCGTTCCTTCCACAACCAAAACCCGTAAAAAAAAAAAAGCCGAGCTACCCATTTGGCGACGTGTTAGGAAGCACAAACACATCAAGGAAAATTAGATTAGATGTGGAGGTAAACATTTGGGATACCCCCCCACCTCCTGTCATATTCACGGGAAACTCGGAGACTAAATCGAGGGAACTTTCAGGCCCCCAACCCCCCGCAAGGTACCTGAACATTGCCTATAGGTAAATCTCGGTAACAAACAACCAAACATCGGCGGCAAAACAAGACACCGCAACAAAAACACCAGAATCCACGCGCAAACACACAGCCAACGTACCAAAGCAACTCGCAAATAAGACGCAACAAGAACCAGGCGCCCATCGGCTGATCCATGGCCTCCGCGGCTGCCGGTGGAGCTGGCGGGCGGTGCGGCGTCGTTGCCTGAAAACGAGGAAAAAATCGGAAAGGGAAAGGGTGAGCTTTCATACCGTGGATGGACAAAACCCGTTGGCACCAGTTTGAAATCATGTTTGAACCCATTGGTTGTTGGTACTGTATTTACAGGGGAATCACCTTTCATATCTGGGCTGCCCGTTTTCTGATCCCCCGCTAAAAGTGACTCATTTTGAGTGGGTTAAATGGAAACTACCACTAAACCCTGAGAGCCTAAAAGGCTAAGGGGACGAATCACGTGCCTCCGGTGAACATCCCAATTTTCACTAAATAGCTTCTAATATGGGTGGTGAAATCACCTATCCCAAAATGGTACCATTGGTGTTGACTCACAGCCATATGGGTGGCTCGTTTTGTTGGAGCCCCCGCCCAAGAAAAAAATGGCAGCGCTTCCGTTTTGGTTTCTTTTTAACACTCTAGGGGTACCTTCCCCATTCTTTCCAGGGATCCTTCTTTTCAGGAAACCATCACAAACCCAGCGGAATGTAAAAAGAACGATGGTTGAAAAAAAGGGATTGAATTTGAGGGATTTGAGAAATCCATTTGATTTCAGATTGCCGGATATGATGTCCATCCAAGTTAGTATTGCTGCATTTGAGTGCCCATTTGACTTGGTATAGCTCGATTGGACGTTCCGTGTGCTTCAGCATTGCTGGATTTGACTTCTACTTGA